AACTGTGTTCCATCAGGTTTTCATTGGCTGATTTTTTCGGGAGTAGATCACCAGGCCTTTCTGCTTAGGTGCCCCTGGTGAAGGTGATGAAACCTCTAACCTTTCAGTTAGCAGTTGAAGGTGTTACTGCGACTCAACATTACCACATAGCAAGGTTTACCAGAAAGCTCCAGTAATTCCGCAATGTGATATTAGGGTAATGAAAAACTTCAACTGCCATGGAGTCGGATGTTTCCAGTGCGGTGTACGTGGCATTGTGTGGAGAGTGCATTTTCTAAATGGTTGTTGCTACTACACAGAAATGTTCCACTCCTAGTGACCCTGGAGCACAGGGTAGAACTGCCCCTGTGGTTTTCCGAGACTCACTCTTTCCGGGGATAGAGGGCCTCGTCTTCCTTCCAAGGGTATTCAGTAAAGGTTGACAAATAGGTCAGTGAACGAGGCCAGAGAGGGCCCACACCTGCTTCTGTTCAGTCACCCGGCGAGTGACAAAGATGACTAGCGTACAGTGGAGAAATGTTTTTGAGTAGATGGTGCCGGCCAGACTATTGCTGCTGCTGCTGCTGCTGCTAGGTGCCATTGCGTCAGTTCCGACCCATAGCAACAGAATCAGACACTGCCCAGCCCTACGTCATCCTTAGAATATCCGCTGTGGCAATCCGTCTCACCCAGGACCTTCCTCCTCTTTACCAAGCGTGGTGTCCTTCTCCAGGGACTGGTCTCTCCTGGCAATATGTCCAAAGTACGCAAGACTAAGTCTCGACATCCTTGCTTCTAAGGAACACTCTGGCCTTACTTCTTTCAAGACCGATTGGTTTGTCCTTTTAGCTGTTCATAGTACTTTCAATAGTCTTCACCAGCACCTCAACTCAAACGCATCGATTCTTCTTCAGCCTTTCTTACTCAGTGTCCAGCTTTTACATGCATGTGAGGCGATGGAAATATTAGTCCTCAAAGTACCATCCCTGGTACTGCGCAGCAGACTTACTATTGCTGTTGTTATTTCTCTCAAGTCGGCTTTGACCATAGTGACCACACGCCCAGCCCGGTGCCGTCTTCGCCACCATTCCTCGGTTTGAGTAGCCCATCCTTCAGGTGCTGTGTCAGTCTGTCTCCTTAAGCCTGGTCCTCTTTTTAGCTGACCCTCAGCTTTACTAAGCACGGTGTCTTTCTCCAGGGCTGATCCCGCCTGATGACGTGTCCTAAGTACATGAGATAAAGTCTCACTATCGTTCCTTCTAAGGAGCGTTTTGGCTGTGCTTCTTCCAACACAGATTTATTTGTTTTTCTGGCCATCCAAAGTGTATTTACATTTTTCCAACCCTTTTGAATGACCCACACAGTTACATACCTTTGCATAGTCAATAAAACACAGGGGAACAGCTTTCCAGTCTCTTCTCTTTCCTCGAGGGTCCCTCTGACACCAGCAATGATATCCCTCATTCCATATCCTCTTCTGAATCGGTACTGCTGCCACCACGTTTGAGTGATCTTCAGCAGCCTTTCCCTTGCCAAGGGTCACCTCACGAAGACGTGGTGGAGCTGTGCACTGGCCAGCCTTCTAGAGCCACTGCCTGCTGTTCTTCCCTCTTCTCCAGAGCTGCCCACTCCACTTCTGCTCTGCTTTCTCTGGATCTGCCCCTTGCCAGTGTTCCTTTGAAGCCCCTTTCCCCTCTCCTGCCAGCCTGGTCTCCCCTTCCTAACTAACGTCTAGTGTCTTTGTATAGTTTACAAGTGATGTTTATTACAGCTCCCGCCTAGGAACTTGATGCTGTGATCACAGTGGTGTTTGCTGTATACCAGGCAGCGTGCTCGGCCCTTTCCGTGTTCTCATGTTGAACCCCTGGAGCAACCCAGGGAGAGGCCTCCGTTTTGACCACTGCCTCAGAGAAGCCACGGCTCAGAGAGGCCAAGTGCCAAGGCCAAAGTGGAAGAAACAGTAGACTACACGTCCGTCCAACGCCAGACCTTCACCACTGCTCCATGCCTCTGAGATTTGAGCCCTTGGCTGTGCTCAGTCTCGCGTGTGTCTGATCTCATTTAGCTTGTGCACCCCACCCCGTCCGTATTTATTGTGCACCTGGTGTATGCCAGGCATTTCAGTAGGGTGGTGTCCGCAAGATCAATGAGGTGACAGGCCCTTCCTAGAGGCACTTAGGTATGGTAAGGGAGGTAGCTCGTTGCAAATCAAGGTGGGCTGTGCAGTAGCAAAGGTACTGTGGGTACAGGCTCGTCCCCAGACCGCAAGTGAGTTCCCTTCCTAAGTCTGTCTGTATGCTGAATTTGCATGTAAATTGGAGCAGTTGGGTATGGTTCGTATCTAACATTAGTAAGTTGACCAAATGTTTGTCTCAGCATATAGCATATAATGTACCTTGATATGCATACAAACATTAAAGAAACACTTCCAGATACACTAAAGCATCTTTAACATGATAGTACAGTAATGCTGATAATGTTTTGATGTGTGTTACAATGTAATGCCTGTGTGGGTGTTATTATGAACCACTGCGTGTTTCTGGATTGGGTTGTAACTCAGGCTGTATGCAAGTGTCATGTCATAACCCAAGAGTTGCCCTGCAGAGGCGTCAGCAAAAAGGAACAGGATCACACCCCCTGGGGAGGGGGATGGAGCAGGCAAAGCTTCTTATGCAAAGGCTCATAAAGTCTGAGCTGGGTTTTGAAGTATGAGTAAAAGTTTGCTGGTTGCCTAGGACAGCACAAGGGCCAGCCAGAGGGCTCTGTCAATTGAGGTCACACCTAATTTTCCACACTTAACTTCTGTCCCTGTGGAACTGAGACAGTGGACTGCTAACCACAAGGTTGGCAGTTCAAATTTACCAGCTACTCTGTTTCCCTAAAGGTTTGCAGTCTAGATGAGTCGGAATAGACTCAATAAATAGCCGTGGATTTGGTTTTGGGGTTTTCCATTCCAGTTGAAGGTGTGGAAGGTCCTGATGGTGGTGGGACTAAGTGCTTGGTGCTGACTGCCAGATGTATGGTTTGGAGCCCCAGCCACGTGGTGTGGGCAGCTGTGCCAGTCTGCTTTCCTGCAGCCTGGGGAAACCCACAGGGCCAGTTCTGCTCTGCCCTGCAGAGTCACTCAGCTGCAGCAGGCTTGGCGTTTCTTTGTGGAGGTCTCTGTTGAGCGTCTTCATCATCTGAATTCCAAACCAGTGGGCGCTTAGATGAGAGCCAGCAGATGGAGAACCAAATCACTGTCATTTGCTCTGATCAACACCAGTTGAGAGATAACCCCATTAAGCTCACAACTCCCCCACTGCAAGCAAGATCTTAGAGCCAGCCCAGCCAAAGGACAGCGGGAGTCTGCAGAGCCGACCGCTCACTGAGGCCTCAGACTCCTGTGGGGTTCAGGGAGTGAGGCTAATGGATGGAACACAGAGGGATGTGGCCACGTGGTTGAGGCATGGGTTGTCCTTGACCCCCTCCACCCTAATCCCAATCCCTGGTTATTGGCAGGACCACAGGCAAGTTGGGACTGTCACTCTTAGCCACTGTGTGCCTGATCCATGGCTCTCAGGCTCTGGTGGGAGGTCTTTCTCCAGTGGGTCTGGGGTCCAGCTCACGCAGCGATTCTGATGCCAGAGACCTGGCATCTGCTCTTAGAGCTATGGGAGAAGCTCTGGGGGGAGACAGATGCCCCACAGGGACGGGGAGCTGTGTGGACTCAGGAGTGGACCTCCAATACTTGCTGGTGCCCTGGACTGGTGTGGGGTTTGCTCCTCATGCGGGAACTTGCCACACTTGGCCCACCTTCCCCCTATTCAGACCCTAATGAAAAATGTTTCTGGAGAATTATTCTAGCATTTGCATAGTAAGAATTACATGCAATTTTTCATTAATTACTATGACTGATTAGATGATTATACTCTAGAAAATGTGGCCAACAACAGCAATATTAATAAGTAAAACCCAGCTCCCCATAAGCTGTACATTACTTCTTTTATCGTTTCATCTGCAAAGGTCTGTCTCTTGCACCATACCTAATATTAGAAATTTAGATGGATCTATCTTACCTTCAGGAGCCGGGGCATTGGGTTGTGAGGGGGCTGCTAGCTGCAAGGTCAGCAGTTTGAAGCCACTGGGCACTCCAGAGGAGAATGAGGAGGATTTCTGCTCCTGTGAAGGGTGACAGTGTTGGAAGCCCACAGGGGCACTTCTACCCTGTCCTATAGGGTTCCTATGAGCCGGAATTGACTCCATGGGTGTTAGTGTGAGATCTTATATTACATTAAAGAGTCCCGGTGGTGCAGTGGCTACGTGCTTGGCTGCCAACCAAAAGGCTGGTAGTTCACACCGACTAGTTGTTCCACGGGAAAAAGATGTGGCACCTGCTTCTGTAAAGAGAGGGGGAACTAATTACAGGGATCTATGTATAACCTCCTCCCTGGGGGACGGACA